CTCTCCTAAAGTCAAGATAACCCAGTAGAAGACACCATTACATCCATGTTTTCTCATAGCCAATGTTTTTACATTCAAATTCATCCCTCAGCAGAGCCTTCTACACTCACTATTCTCATTCACTTCCTTAAAATTTTTCAAATACAACTAAATGCTCCATGCTTTCTTTTTTGTCTCTACCATGCAGAGTTAGAATTTCATTGACTCCTAGGACACTAGATTGGTATCCTTGTTTTTAAATAGAAGGGTACTATATATATATATATATTACTATATATATGGTTCCTTTCACTCATCACTACATTTGTGTAATTTATTCATGTTGCATGTGCTTTAGTTTTCTCATTCTTAGTATATGTATATCACTGCATAAATGTTATTTCTTCATTGTTTATACTTTTCTGAGCATGTGGGTTGCTTTCAGTCGGGAATACTAAAGTGGTGATGTTCTGGACATTCTACTACGTGTATTTGTCCATATGGACATGTTTCCGTGTGGTGAGTGTTTAACATAGACTGCTAGGCCTTTTTTTCTACCTTAACCCCTTCAGGACTCAGTCTTTCATACTTTCACATTCTAATGCAATCACATGTAATGACTCACCTAATCTCACACACTCTTCTCTGCATTCTTTGCCATTTTTTCAAAGCCCAAGTATTCCTTCTCTTATACTCCTTGATTTTTACATCATCACATTCTTTATTTGCTCACATTTTGCAAATACACTAAATCCAACAGTCTCAAAGAGAATATTCTCAGTAATAACATACCATACTAAACTACATGATATATAATACACATACACAAATCTATAATTATGGTAAATGCAATCTACACACATAAATATGTGCTGAACTAACACCCAGGCACAAAGCCACACATACCATCCTCAGTCACCCAAAACTCATTCAATATTCAAATTAGCAAATGCCAATTCAATCACACATTAACATTAATTCAGTTTTTAACCAACACATTATATACTTAAATACCAATCACACTGTATCCACCATACCATACTGCTACAAACGTGAATGATACATGTGCCACACACATTCATGGGACATGATGCTAATATTAACAGTTCAATAATGAGCAGTAAGCNATTCAATAATGAGCAGTAAGCTTAGTTAACATGGAAACAAGGAGAGTAACATAATAACAATGAGTAGTTAATTTCTAAAAAAATAAAACTTTTTTTCATCTATTATATATACAAATCAATTTACATATCAATGTAGATAGATATACTTGCAGTGTTCCATAAAACTTGCACAGCATATCCCCTAATTGTACCACATTTCACGAGGAAATTGAGGTGACATCCACCTTTTAGTTCCTGAATCCTGTCTTTCAGGCATGGTTTTAAGTTTCTGATACTCTGTCTAGATATCCAAAATATCACATGCAAGATACCTAATCCCACTCACATCCACCAAGCATACCATTTTAATAAGTGTTTCCTTATAGTTTGGAGTAAATGGAATTTCAAATGGGAAAGTCACCTTAATTTCTAAAAAAATAAAACTTTTTTCATCTATAATNATAAAAACTTTTTTTCATCTATAATATATATATGAGAACAAGGGTGATGTGTGGTGATGAGGCCTGACTTGTAATGTCCAATACATGCAGTTTTTGAACTGACATTGGCTCCAGTAAATGCCTCACCTCAATGTTCTTTTTTATTCCACTACCTAGGACCCTGCATCACTGATAAGGATGCTCCTAAGCCTGAGTCACCTGGAGAGGCTGCAACCGGTTGTCACCCAGCAGGAGAAAACTCTTCCTCTTCTGAATATTTCTCCTGTGTCTCCTCCCCTTCCAAGTTTCCCCGTCTTGATGAGGATGGTAAGGAATATACAGAGGTGGGATCTGAGCTTGGTCAAGAGATGCAGCTGAGCTGCTCAGCACAGTCTCTGCCTTATAGTTCACTTTCCCCTCAAAAACAGGAAAGGGCTTGAGGGCAGATGGACTAGTACTAAGGTTTCTGCAGAGGGACAAGTAGAGAGTGTGCCTTCAAGGTCAGAGCAAGGTCCCTCAGCGCAAATTTCCAACACAGCAGCACTGGGACCACNTCTGCAGAGGGACAAGTAGAGGGTGTGCTTTCAAGGTCAGAGCAAGGTCCCTCAGCGCAAATTTCCAACATAGCAGCACTGGGACCGCTGTGGCTGAGGTGCTGGACAGTGCTGATGTGTGTTTGGGAGTTTACTCAGAACCTCCCCCTTCAAAGGAGCACAAACTCAGTTCCTCACACACTCACACACCTGTACTCCTTCATAGCAGGTATGGCTCCATTCCTCCTCTTCACTTGTTCTCTCAATACACAGGCCTCATTCCCCATCTATTATCCTGTCTCTAGTAACATTACCTAGGTACACCCTTACCTTCATTCCTTCATACAACCATTTTCAGACTCACCCACTTACACACTAATTCCATAAAGAATTCACTTCCCCTCACACACATAACCTCTTTAGGTCAAACTCTAGACAACTCATATGCCCTGAAGTAAATGAACTTGCATCTGTTGTCTCTCTAATCCAGCCACCAGAACTTTATACCTTCATAGATCTGAACATTCTGAGAGCTCACACACACCTCCTCTAACACTCTCAGTCTGTCTCATAGTAAAAACAGGTACCACACCTGCCCTTATTCACATGTGCTACCACAGTACATAACGAGCTTGCATACATTCATTCACCGTCCGCTTTTAACAACATCAAAAACACTCACCAGATATGTCCCAGACCATACATACAACTCCAAGAAAACATGCATACAAAACCAGATCCTCATTCCCATATAGTTATGCCATGTAAATACCTTCAAGTATATTACACAGAGAATCCTGATATATCACAGATAGATGTACTTTGACTCCACATGCTCACATAGGGCATGTGCATCTTAACTCCTCCAGACTTCATACATATATTTTAGTTTTCTTATCTTTGAAAATTTCCTTCCTAGGAACCTATGGATTACGTCAAAATATTTCCTGTCTTGAAACCCTTGAGAAACCTGTACCAAAGTCATCTAGGAAACAGAAGAACATCCAGGGACACATAGGAGGTTTGTGTGGTGATACTTGGAAGTGGCACATATCTTTCCCCTTCATTTTCCATTGTAGAAATGTAATCTCATGGTCATAACTACTTGCAGGGGAAGGTGCTAAATATAATAGAGTTGTGTGTCCAGGTAGAAAGGAGATAGCAATGCTGTTACATTTACAAAGAACCTTCTTTGTGCAAAACCAGTTGCCTGTGATATATTTTGACACAATAAATATCACTGTGTATTTAATATTTAAGTAGGAACCATATTACACTATCCACGAAGATGGAGACCATGTTCACTTAACATGTCACCTAGTAGACTCATTGTTTTTTTCATTGAGAGATAAATACACAAATAACAAACATGGACCACATTTCTATTATTTTTTATTTTTTGGCAAAGTTGAATTAATGAGAAGATACTTTGCAACATAGAAATAAAGCAGTGGCCCTAACTCAAGGCTGGAAAGCATGGGAGGGTTCTTCTTCCTCAGACAACTTACTCAGCATTTCTTCTAAAGACACACTAACTGGGGTTGGTAAGGAGGACTATTGGGTAGGATGCAAAGGGACATTGGGAACTACACAGAGCACAGAGTTGAGGTGTGTGATTCTGCCCATTAGTCAACAGAAGGCTGCCCAGTACAAGAAGAAACTTCAATGCTTTTGCATCTTCTTAATGTGATCAGCAGCAAACAACAAATTCCAAGGGAAAAGCACTTAAAAGGACTGGAGCAAGCCCTAAGATATCAGTGTAGAGCAATGTTTCATTTGAGGAAATAGTGGGACCAGGTACTAAGGGGATGAGAGTTTTATCAGAGAAAAATGAAGGAATATGTTAGTATGAGCCAGAAAAAGGCATTCTATATTGCCAGAAAGGTATGAAAACTGTAATCACTTTAAACAGGCCAAAAGTGGTAGGATCTCCAAGAACTGAACTTGAGGTAGAGTACAGAGATACCCAGCCAAAGACCTCATCACATCCATAGATTTTCACAGTCAGTGTTTTCACATTGACATTCATCCCTCATCAGACCCTCTGCACTCACTCCCCCCATCATTCATTTCCTTATAGTCTTCCATATGCATCTAAATTCTCCACTGTCTACTTTTGTTCCTACCATACAGAGAATTAAAATTTCTCTGACTCCTAAGACCCAAGACTAGTATCCAGTTTTTTAAATTTTATGAAAATTGAATGTCACAATATGTACTTTGTATCTAGGTCATATCACCCATAACTATATTTGTGTAATTTATACATGTTGTATGTTACTTTAGTTTTGTTCATTCCTGGTATATGTATATCATTGCATAAATATTATTTCTTCATGGATTATACTTTTTCTGAGCATTTGGGTTGCTTTCAGTCCAGAATTGTTAAAAAGGTGATATTCTGGACTTTCTATTACATGTATTTTTCAATGTGGACACATTTCTGTTTGGTGAATGCTTAGGAGGTAGGCTGCTAGGTCTTCATTTCCATATTGTCTTAACCCCTTCAGAACTCAATCTTTCATACATTTACTTTTTATTTTTCTTTTATTAATATATCTTTATTGATCTCAGAGAGAGGAAGGGAGAGGGAGAGGAAGAGGGAGAG